GCCTGACTCATGTCCGGGCTCCGGGAGTAGAAACACTCTGGGAGCTCATCAGAGGTATATTGGGATACCAGACTTTGTAAACTTCCTCTTTATTACTACGGTTATCAGACTTTATTAACTGTTCTCTGATATACTCTTATTATCATTATTATCATTAATTTCCCCAGAGCTAAGTTTGTGCATCCTTCACTGTGTTCTTGTAGGTACCTCAACACTGTGTTCTTGTAGGCACCCCAACACTGTGTTCTTGTAGGTACCTCAACACTGTGTTCTTGTAGGTACCTCAACACTGTGTTCTTGTAGGCACCTCAACACTGTGTTCTTGTAGGTACCTCAACACTGTGTTCTTGTAGGTACCTCAACACTGTGTTCTTGTAGGTACCTCAACACTGTGTTCTTGTAGGCACCTCAACACTGTGTTCTTGTAGGTTACATCAACACTGTGTTCTTGTAGGCACCCCACACTGTGTTATTGTAGGTACCTCAAACACTGTGTTCTTGTTTAGGTCTAACACTGTCGTTCTTGTAGGCACCTCAAATCTATGTGTTCTTGTAGGTGCCTCAACACTGTGTTCTTGTAGGTGCCTCAACACTGTGTTCTTGTAGGCACCTCAACACTGTGTTCTTGTAGGTACCTCAACACTGTGTTCTTGTAGGTACCTCAACACTGTGTTCTTGTAGGTACCTCAACACTGTGTTCTTGTAGGTACCCAACACTGTGTTCTTGTAGGTACCTCAACACTGTGTTCTTGTAGGTACCTCAACACTGTGTTCTTGTAGGCACCTCAACACTGTGTTCTTGTAGGTACCTCAAAACTGTGTTCTTGTAGGATTCCTCAACACTGTGTTCTTGTAGGTACCTCAACACTGTGTTCTTGTTGGTACCTCAACACTGTGTTCTTGTAGGTACCTCAACACTGTGTTCTTGTAGGCACCTCAACACTGTGTTCTTGTAGGTACCTCAACACTGTGTTCTTGTAGGTACCTCAACACTGTGTTCTTGTGGGTTTACCTCAACACTGTGTTCTTGTAGGTACCTCAACACTGTGTTCTTGTAGGCACCTCAACACTGTGTTTTGTAGTGCCTCAACACTGTGTTCTTGTAGGTGCCTCAACACTGTGTTCTTGTAGGTACCTCAACACTGTGTTCTTGTAGGTGCCTCAACACTGTGTTCTTGTAGGTACCTCAACACTGTGTTCTTGTAGGTGCCTCAACTCTGTGTTCTTGTAGGTGCCTCAACACTGTGTTCTTGTGGTGCCTCAACACTGTGTTCTTGTAGGTACCTCAACACTGTGTTCTTGTAGGTACCTCAACACTGTGTTCTTGTAGGTACCTCAACAATGTGTTCTTGTAGGTACCTCAACACTGTGTTCTTGTAGGTGCTCAACACTGTGTTCTTGTAGGTGCCATCAACACTGTGTTCTTGTAGGTGCCATCAACACTGTGTTCTTGTAGGTGCCTCAACACTGTGTTCTTGTAGGTGCCTCAACACTGTGTTCTTGTAGGTGCCTCAACACTGTGTTCTTGTAGGTGCCTCAACACTGTGTTCTTGTAGGTACCTCAACACTGTGTTCTTGTAGGTACCTCAACACTGTGTTCTTGTAGGTGCCTCAACACTGTGTTCTTGTAGGTGCCTCAACACTGTGTTCTTGTAGGTACCCCAACACTGTGTTCTTGTAGGTACCTCAACACTGTGTTCTTGTAGGCACCTCAACACTGTGTTCTTGTAGGTGCCTCAACACTGTGTTCTTGTAGGTACCTCAACACTGTGTTCTTGTAGGTACCTCAACACTGTGTTCTTGTAGGTACCTCAACACTGTGTTCTTGTAGGTGCCTCAACACTGTGTTCTTGTAGGTACCTCAGCACTGTGTTCTTGTAGGTACCTCAACACTGTGTTCTTGTAGGTACCTCAACACTGTGTTCTTGTAGGTACCTCAACACTGTGTTCTTGTAGGTACCTCAACACTGTGTTCTTGTAGGTACCTCAACACTGTGTTCTTGTAGGTACCTCAACACTGTGTTCTTGTAGGCACCTCAACACTGTGTTCTTGCAGGCACCTCAACACTGTGTTCTTGTAGGTACTTCAACAATGTGTTCTTATAGGTACCTCAACACTGTGTTCTTGTAGGTACCTTAACACTGTGCTCTTGTAGATACCTCAACACTGTGTTCTTGTAGGTACCTCAACACTCTGTTCTTGTAGGCACCTCAACACTGTGTTCTTGTAGGTACCTCAACACTGTGTTCTTGTAGGTACCTAAACACTGAGTGTTATTGTAGGTACCTCAACACTGAATGTGTTCTTGTAGGTTCCTCAACACTGACTGTGTTCTTGTAGGTACCTCAACACTTAGTGTTCTTGTAGGTACCTCAACACTGTGTTCTTGTAGGTACCTCAACACCGAGTGTTCTTGTAGGTACCTCAACACTGAATGTGTTCTTGTAGGTTCCTCAACACTATGTTCTTGTAGGTGCCTCAACACTGACTGTGTTCTTGTAGGTACCTCAATACTGAGTGTGTTCTTGTAGGTACCTCAACACTATGTTCTTGTAGGTTCCTCAACACTGACTGTGTTCTTGTAGGTACCTCAACACTGTGTTCTTGTAGGTACCTCAACACTGTGTTCTTGTAGGTACCTCAACACTGTGTTCTTGTAGGCACCTCAACACTGTGTTCTTGTAGGCACCTCAACACTGTGTTTTGTAGGCACCCCAAACACTGTGTTCTTGTAGGTCCCTCAACACTGTGTTCTTTTTGGGGCCACCCAACACTGTGTTCTTGTAGGAAACCTCAACACTGTGTTTTGTAGGCACCTCAACACTGTGTTCTTGTAGGCACCTCCACACTGTGTTCTTGTAGGCACCTCAAACTGTGTTCTTGTGGCACTCAACACTGTGTTTTTTTAGGCACTTAACCCTGTGTTCTTGTAGGCACCCCAACACTGTGTTCTTGTAGGCACCTCAACACTGTGTTCTTGTAGGCACCTCAACACTGTGTTCTTGTAGGCACCCAACACTGTGTTCTTGTAGGCACCCCAAACACTGTTTTTCTTGTAGGTACTCAACACTGTGTTCTTGTAGGCACCCCAAACACTGTGTTCTTGTAGGCCCCTCAACACTGTGTTCTTGAGGCACCCAACACTGTGTTCTTGTAGGCACCCAACCCTGTGTTCTTGTAGGCACCTCAACACTGTGTTTTGTAGGCATCCAACTGTGTTCTTGTAGGCACCAACACTGTGTTCTTGTAGGCACCTCAACACTGTGTTCTTGTAGGCATCCCAACACTGTGTTCTTGTAGGCACCCCAACACTGTGTTCTTGTAGGCACCTCAACACTGTGTTCTTGTAGGCATCCCAACACTGTGTTCTTGTAGGCACCCCAACACTGTGTTCTTGTAGGCACCTCAACACTGAGAAAACAATGTTTGGTTCTGTGTTTATCAACACGTAGCGATATATTCAAATGCTTGCTCTTGAACGTGTATATTTGCAGTCGAGCCTGGCCTAGGGCCGGGCCCCTGCAGTAGAAAGACTCTGGAAACTCATCACTGGTATATCAAAGCTTCACTACTGTGGGCAACATGTTATTTAGTGTAATGTTGTTATAATTTTATATCTGTCTGATATATGTTGAGATGTATAGAATACAAATATGCAAATTGAGTATAATGTTTGTAGTGTTGTGTCGGGATATTATTACTAATAAATATGTTTTATTGGTCTTCTCTCCCCTACTCTTCTCTCTTCGTGTCAACAACTCCACTTTCATTCTTCGCCTTTATGCTTCACTCTCCCCTCAAAAATACTTTTCTGTGTTTTATTTCCTCTGTCTTGCTCTGTGCCACGTGTTTGAATTTTAAATATATCTTTGGTTGTGTTCTTACTGTCCTGTCAATGTTTCTCTCTCTCTCTCTCCCCTCTCTCTCTCTCTCTCTCTCTCTTCTCTCTTCTCTCTCTCTCGCTCGCTCGCCCCTCTCCTCTCTCTCTCTCTGTCTGTTCTCTGTCTCTCTCTTGTCTCTCTCTCTGTCTCTCTCTCTGTCTCTCTCTTGTCTCTCTCTCCCCTCTCTCTTCTCTCTCTCTCCCCTCTCTCTTTTCTCTCTCTCTTTTCTCTCTCTCTCCCCCTCTCCCCTCTCTCTCTCTCTCTCTCTTCTCTCTCTCTCTCTCTCTTCTCTTTTCCCCTCTCTCTGACCTCTCTGTTTCTCACTCCATATTTTCTAACTTCTTCTCCCCACATAATTTATCAACGTGGTTCTTGCTCCACATGTGTCTTATTCATCCACAACTTGTTTCTCACCATTACCTTCACTTGGTCTCTCTCACTGCCTTTACTACTCATTTTGTCTACTGTTACTGCTCTTTACCTGATTTCTTATCACCTGATTTTCACTCCCTTCACCAATTTTCCGCCCATCACCTGTTTACACTTTCATCTGTTTTCTCTCATTTACCCGTTTTCCCACTATTCATCTCTTTTCTTCCTGTTCGTCTACTTCCCTGACATTCTTAATGTCTGCCTGGCTTCCTATCTTCTCTTTGGCTTAAATCCCTCTAACACTTCCCCTAACACTCGTAACACTTCCCCTAACACTCGTAACACTTCCCCTAACACTCGTAACACTTCCCCTTACACTTGTAACACTTCCCCTAACACTTGTAACACTTATCTAACACCCCTTTAAACTCTAATAATACATTCTCAACACTCTGGATGCCCCGCAACCTGGCAAGAAACACTTCTCTAACTTTGTAACATTTTCTTCAACCCTTCGTGCATTATACAACTCAAATTAAATGCACACATTCACATGACCTTCTTTCTTCTCATTCCACGTCAATTCTCCCCAAATTCACTGCACTTTCTTGGCTGGCCGCTTGTTTCTTCTCTCTCTCTCTCTCTCTCTCAAACCTTCGTTCCCTCTCCACTCTACTTTCTTCCCTTGCTTTCTCCTTATTTCACCCTGTTATCTTCGCTTTCCCCGGGCATTGGGCCTTCCCCAGAGTACCAATAAACGCATCAAGTTGGAGACGGAAGGAACAGTCACGGCGCGGTAG